GCTCTACACTATGTCCCAGATAATACTCCATGACCCTAATTATTAATGTCCACTGTTACTTGCTGCCTTACCTCCCAGTCTCACTTCACCACTCTCCTACTAGTGTTTCCTGGGACCTCCTCCCAAATAAAGTATTTCACTCAAATTCTTGTCTCAGATTCTGCTTTTGGAATCTGAGACAAGAATTTGAGTGAAACAGTTAAGAAAGTAACACAAACAATGTAGGACTGAGTTCTTTTAACTCCATCCTCAAAGACATCAAAAACTACCAAGAAAGATGGTTAGTAAGCCCCACTTTATAGTAAAACCCATCAGACAAGGTACATTTCTAATAACTCAGGGAGATGAGAAAAGGGAGTAGAAAGAAATTTTTAAAGCAATTTAAAAGAACAAGGGGTTGACAGAAAGAAAAATGGTAGATATACTGTACATGTTATTAAAACAATCATAGCACACCTACATGAAATGATAACTTATCTATATGAGTAGGTTCAGCTTTACAAACTCTTCCATTGATTTTTAAAATTAAATGAAAATGTGAATCCATGTTTAAGCTAATACAGCAAAAAAGTTGTCATGTTTTAGATTTCTTTCTACATATTCTATAGATTCTCTCTCTCTCTCTCTCTCTCTCTCTCTCTCTCTCTCTCTCTTTCACACACATATACACACACACAGTTGATACTATCATATGAGCAATTCTAAACTTAATTCACAGTCTCAGGAATAAAAATATGCTTTTAATAAGTATGATCAGCAAAAATTTAAGTTTGTGTTTTATTCCGCAATTTGATTGACAATCAAATTTGTTCAGGAACATATGATTACTTGACACTTTTATAATCAAATCTGTATTGTTTATTGCATAAAAACAGTACGAAGTGAAACAAAAGAAAATTGCTCTTCTGTCAGCAAGTAACAAGTAGGTCAGCCTTATCATTCAGAGGTGAAGACTATCTTGCACCTTACAAGCTACATATTAGCCTGCCACAGTTTCTTTGCATCTTCTCATGAAACTAGTTTCAAGAATAGAGACGTCAGGAATTTCCAGTAAGATAAATGAAAAGTCACCCTCTTACAACATTATTCTGAACACTTCTGAATGAAAGGACTTCGTCAAATTAGGCTGTTATTTTTAGACAATTTCTACCCTTCCTCAAGAAGAGTCGTGTTTAATTCTATTCCCAAGACTCAATTGTATAACTGTAGGTTAAATTTTTAAAAAATTGAAGTGTCTTGATTGTTTGACCTGTTGAATTGGATTTCAGAATATTTCCCTGAAATCTGCTTTTCTACTCACTACCAGGACTATTTTCTAATTTCAACAGATTCAGACAAATGATATGAGATCAGCAAAAGAAGATTCTTACTCATAATAATTAATGGGTTGCAAAGAAACCCCCAAAGTATGCCAAATAATTTAAAAGTGTCTCGATTCATCAAAACATAAACACTCATTTATCCAAGGAGCAACCTACTTTGCAAACATATGTGTAAGTATACATGTCATTATTTATCCATTCATGCAATAAAGTTTATTCAATGCCTATTATTTGCAGATGCTAGGATACGTACTAGGGTACAAAAAATCCTCGCCCCTGCACTTGAATATTTATAGGTAGAAAAAAGAAAAAGAGTCATACATACAGGTAGCTACAAGAAAATGTTCCAAGTATCATGTTGGGTAGCATATCTGTTACTTCATTCTCAGATTCATTCAACAACTATTGCACACCTACAGTATGCCAAGCATCATTTCAATTTACAATTTATAAAAGTAATCCCCATGAGAGGCAGTGACACCTTAGAAGAAAGATTATTTTTGTGGTGGTTATTTTAAGCATACATAATGATCCACAATTCTAGTCATGTGTATTACCGAGATAATTGGGGAAAAAAAACTTATAAAATAAGCTTTCTTTCCTGAAATCCTCTTGCCTTTGCAAGTCAATAATAGAAATGAAACTCCAAACCAGTTAATCACAATGTTTGAGGGTCATAAAATAATTGTCCTTACCAAGAATACAGGATTGTTCCAACAACAGACGTGAGTTTACTGTTTTCTTGTTTTTGCTTTGCCAGGCCAAAGTCAGCTACAATTCACAAAACAATGCAATATGTTATTATATTTTCCCAGAGTTAGCATTGTTCCTTAGCATTTGACAATCTACACAATAACCATTACCCTTCATAATCAAAGTCTTTTCTTACTCTGTCAAAATACCCAGTGTGCCAGTTTTCCACATCATTCCCAGTCTTAATTAATGACATACATACTATGTCATTTTGATATATATTTTGAAATAATGGTTTATCACTTCAAAAAAAGCTTAAATTAAGTCTTGTTGACTGAAACACAGGACAAAATACCTATTGAATATGTGATTCCGCTTTTTAGGTTATCCTTTATAATTTTAAAATAAATAAAATGAATCTAACATTCGGCATATGGCAGTCATGACCTCGTCAGACCAAAAGAAAAGTAAGAATTGCCCGAATAACTACCATGAAGGCCTGAAAACCTAAAATTAACTGGCATCAGTGTGTCCTAATCACAGTACAAGTATGTTCAAAATCATCTCAAAATATTTGTATATAAACAGAAGATTCTGATTTTTATCACAGAACACCAAATATTTGTATTTCATTTTACCACAGTCTCATACTTTTCAAATATCTTCAGGTACTTGTCTTTTTTAAACTACTCAACAACTTAGGTCGAAACGATAAAAACAGATATTTTTCCTATCCGTTTGCTACAGATTCACCAGTATTTTGCAAGATTTAATTACCAGGATTGCACAAAAAGGCAATGTGGAACCAGGGCAAGAATTCAAGTCGCTTTTCCTAAGAAGCTTTGATATTCTCAATATCATGTTGTAAAGTGCAGCAAACGTTTATGGAATTTCACAGCAACAAACTTTAAGGGGGCATTTGATTATTTATATATACTAAAATGCCTTTCAGACTGAAAATGTTCCAAAGTAGTTTCATTTCAAAACAATAAAAATTCACATGATTAATAATAATACACATTTACTAAATAACAAGCTTCTACTAGCACAGATTCAGCCACTTACATGAATTGCCTCATTTAATACTCATAGCACTCTGAAAGATGGGCATTATCATTAGTAAAGCTTAGTGTTTAATAGCCAGGACTCTGGAACTGGACAGCCTCAATCTGAATACTGGCTGTATTATGTGTAACCTGAGTAATCCTGGGCAAGTTATTTAATCTTGCTTTCCAATAGCTTTCTTATCTGTAAAATAAGGATTATAATAATATAGTACTGATATGTACTGTAAACAGTACAGTATGATAGTAAAATTTAAATAATTTATTATATACAAATATCATGTATTATATATAAATACATGTAGTAGAGTATTGAATAACTGATGTATATTATGATTTAATCATCACACTTATCCATTTTATATATGAGGAAACAGGCTCAGAGAGAATGTGTGACTTGCCCAGTGTCTCACAGGGAGAAATTAACAGTCAAATATTAATCTGGGGTTGCTGGATTCTAAAGCTCCAAATCTCACCAAGACATAATATTGCCAATATAGAAAAATAAGGACCAGATCAATTCAATAGTAAACTCAACCAAACATTTAAGAAATCTATACCAATTCTACACAAACTCTTCCAGAAAATAGAAGAGTAGGGAATACTTCCAAAATCACTTCATAAAGCCAGCATTACACCATTCCAAACCCAGAAGACACAAGAAAACTATAGAACAAGAGCCCCTTGAACATAGACAGAAAAACTATCAAGAAAATATAAGTAAATCAAATCCAGTGACATATAAAAAGGACATATAAAATATATATGTATTAACATAATGACTAAGTGGGGTTTATGCCAGAAATACAAGGCTAATTTGATATTTAAAAATCCATCAACATGAGTTCAATAGAAGCCTGAACACTAGCAGTATGCAATATATCCATGTAACAAACAGGCACATGTGGCCCCCGAATCTAAAATAATTTAAAAAATAAAAAGTTATCAGCCGAGTGTGTTGGCTCATGCCTATAACCCCAGCACTCTGGGAGGCCAAGGCAGGTGAATCAACTGAGGTCAAGAGTTCAAGACCAGCCTGGCCAACACGGTGAAACCCCTTCTCTACTAAAAATACAAAATATTAGCAGGGCATGGTGGCAGGTGACTGTAATCCCAGTTACTCCAGAGGCTGAGGCAAGAGAATTGCTTGAACCTGGGAGGCAGAGGTTGTAGTGAGCCAAGATCATGCCATTGCACTCCAGCCTAGGCAACAAGAGCGAAACTCCATCTCAAAAAAAAAATAAATAAATAAATAAATAATAAAATAAATTTAAAAAATAAAAATGCATCAATGTAATTTACCAAATCAATACATTAAAGAAGGAAAACCATATGACCATCTCAACCAATATGTAAAAACCATCAGCAAAATTCAACATCTATTCTCCTTTCGGCAAAATAAGAATAGATAGGTACTTTCTTAACCTGATAAAAGGCATCTTCCAAAAAAAAGCTATAGCTAGTATTCTACTTAATGCTGAAAAACTGAGTGTTTCCCTTTTAAGTTCAACAACAAAGTATGTACACCATTCTCAGTGTTCCTAGTCAACATCCTACTGAAGATTCAGATTAAGTACAGTATGTGCATACAAATTTTTGTGGGAACATAATTTTAAATTTCCCTTTGATAAATGTCTTGGAGTGGGATTACTGGATCATGTTATAAGGATTAATTTAATTTGATTTTATAAAACCTGCCAAGTCAAACCATTTTCCAATTTTTTTCTCTCACCAGAAATAGGAATGTTCCGGTTGCTTCTGCATCCCACCAGCATTTAATGTCAGTTTTTATTTAATTAGCTATTCTAATAGGTAAGTAGTGATATCTCAGCATAGTTTTCACTTGTATGTCCCTAGAGATTACTAGTGTTGAACACTTTTAAAGTACTTAATTGCTATCTGGACATGTTCATTTTTAAAAGAAAAAAAAGTACACTTCATGCATTTGCATGTCATCCTTGTGCAGGGGCCATGCTAATCTCTGTAGCATTCCAATTTTCGTATATGTGCTGCCACAGTGAGCACCTGGGTATCTTCCTTAGGGAAGTGCCTGCTCAGATTTTTGCACATTTTTTTCATTAGGTTGTTTATTTTTTTATTTTTGAGTTTTGAATACGAATTATTTGTCAGATATACAATTTGCAAATATTTTCTACTAGTCTGCAGCTTATCTTTTCGTTTTCTTAATAATGTTTTCCAAAGAACAGAAGTTCTAAACTTTGATGAAGTCAAATTTATTAGTTTATGTGACATGTTATGTTTCTGATGCTATGTCTAAGAAATATTTGCCTAGCCCAAGATTGTAAAAACTATATCCATTTTTTTTCTTCCAGAATTTTGATAATTTAAGTTTCATGTAGTTCTATGATCCAAACTGAGCTAAGTTTTATATAAGGTATGATATATAGGTTGAGGTTCTGATTTTTTTATGTGGATTTTCAACTGTTACCATGCCATTTGTTGGAAACAGCCCCTTGCTCTCTCTGAGCACCAGATTTACATATTCACCTGGAAAATCAAAATTTTCACTTAAGTGTCTCCGAGGCATCTCAGAATTAACGCACCCAAAGAGAATTCTCAATCTTAACTCAAATGACTCCTCCTGGTTCCCCATCTCAGTAAGTGGCACCAATATTGACCTAGGTATTTTCCTTAGTTCTTCTGCTAGCTGTCAACTCATTCCTTTTCAGCATCAAACCCACCCTTCATCATGACCCTGCTTTGTTAATGGAGCTGGAACTTGATAATGTCTCTCCTTCGCCAGCTGGCTTGATGTGAAGCTTTGTCAGTAGAGGGTGCTGAAGGGAAACTGCGGGAGAGGCTTCTCTTCCTCTCCTGGTTGTGACATGCTTCCTTTCTTTCTTTGCTCCTGTAGCACTGGTGCAGTGTGCAGGATGGTTAGTGGTGCTCACTTCCCTGCAGGCAGCTTCCTACACAGGTCCACCAGCACTATATCCAGCATCCTTGCAAATTTTGCAAGCAACCCAGCTGACAACATACCAGGAAATTCCGCCGGCATCTCAGCTGTTTTCATAACACCTCCACGGGTAGATTCCCAGTAAGTTCTACCAGCATTCTAGCCAGGCTCAGTCTAGCTAGTTTCATGAGCACCCGAGCCAAGAGATTCCCACTGAGTTCTACTGGTATGCCAGAAAATGGCTTCCTGAAAAGGATGCTCAACATTCCAGGGGCAATTTTCTGTTTGAGAGCTTTATCTTGCATCATTTCAATGCAATTTCTGCCATCAGTGGGCTAAAGTCATACCCTCTCCAACAAAGTCTGAATCTCAGCCCTTGAGGAGGGGGGCTTTCTTAAAATTTGCTTTTTCTTTGAATAGTTTGCCTCACCCCTAGAGGTTGTAGCTCATTCTTATATAGTGACACCTCCTTTTATTGTGCTTCACTTCATTGCACTTTGCAAATACTGCATTCTTTTTTACAAATTGAAGGTTTGTAGCAACCCTGGATCCAGCAAGCCTATCAGCGCTATTTTTCAACAGCATCTGCTCACTTCGTATCTCTGAAACATTTTGGTTATTCTCATAAAATTTCAAACTTTAGGCCGGGCGCGGTGGCTCAAGCCTGTAATCCCAGCACTTTGGGAGGCCAAGGCGGGTGGATCACGAGGTCGAGAGATCGAGACCATCCCGGTCAACATAGTGAAACCCCGTCTCTACTAAAAAAAATACAAAAAATTAGCTGGGCATGGTGGCACATGCCTGTAATCCCAGCTACTCGGGAGGCTGAGGCAGGAGAATTGCCTGAACCCAGGAGGCGGAGGTTGCGGTGAGCCGAGATCGCGCCATTGCACTCCAGCCTGGGTAACAAGAGCGAAACTCTGTCTCAAAAAAAAAAAAAAAAAAAAAAAAATTTCAAACTTTATTATTATTATATCTGTTATGGTGATCTGTGATGAGTGATCTTTGATGTTACTATTGTCACTGTTTTGAGACACCACAAACCATGCTCACCTAATATGGCAACCTTAATTGCTAAATGTTCTGTGTGTTCTGACTGCTCCATTGACTGGCTGCGCCCCCAACTCTTACTCTCTATGAGCCTCCTTAATCACCTAGACACAACAATATTGAAATTAGGCCAACGAATAACCCTACATTGGCCTCCAACCATTCAAGTGAAAGGAAGAGTCATACATCACTGACTTTTGATCAAAAGCTAGAAATGATTAAGCTTAGTGAGAAAGGCACATCAAAAACTCAGACAGGTTGAAAGGTAGGCCTCTGGCACCAAACAGCCAAGTTGCAAAGGAAAAATTCTAGAGGGAAACTAAAAGTGCTACTCAGTGGAGTGACACTTCTGAACACACAAATGGTAAGAAAATAAACAGCATTACTGCTGATAAGGAGAAAGTTTAAGTGATCTGGACAAAAGATCAAACCAGCATACTCCTGTAAGCCAAAGCCTAATTTGGAGCAAGGCCCTAACTCTCTTTAATTCTGTGAAGTCTCAGAGAGGGGAGAAAGCTGCAGAAGAAAGTCTGGAAGCTAGCAGAGGTTGGTTCGTGAAGTTTAAGCAAAGAAGACGTCTCCATAACATAACAGTGCTAGGTGAAGCAGCAAGGGCTGATATGGAAGCTGTGACAAGTTATCCAGATCTGGCTAAGACAGTTGATGAAGTGACTACACTAAGGAACAGGTAGTCAGTGTAGACAAAATAGCCTTCTACTGAAAGAAGATGCCATCTAGGACTTCCATAATTAGGGAGGAGAAGTGAATGCCTGGCTTCAAAGCTTCAAAGAACAGGCTGGCTCTCTCATTAAAGACTAATGTAGCTGGTAATTAAGTTGAAGCCAATGTTTATGGACCATTCTGAAAATTTTAGGGCTTCTAAGAATTATGCCACATATACTCTACCTGTGGTTTACTAAGTAGAACAGCAAAGCCTGAATGACAGTACTTCTATTTACAGCATAGTTTACTATTTTAAGCCCACTGTTGAGAACCATTGCTCAGAAAAAAAAAAAAAATTCCTTTCAAAATATTAGGGTTTGTTGACAATACACCTCAACACTCAAGAGCTCTCATGGATATGAAAAAAAATTAATGTTGTTTTCATGTCTGCTAACACAACATCCATTCTGTAGTCCATAGATCAAGGAGTCATTTCTACTTTTACTAATTGAAAGATAAGGCTATAGGGGTCATAGATAGTGATTCCTGCAACGTTTACCTCCTGGAAGAGATCCGCCATTCTAGATACCATTAAGAATATTCGTGATCCATGAGAAGAGGTCAAAATATCAACACTAACAGGAGTTTGGAAGAAGTTGATTACAACCCTCATGGATAACTTTAAAGGGCTCAAGATTTCAGTGAAGAAAGTTACTGCAGATGTGGTGGAAATAACAAGAGAACTAGAATTAGAATCAGAGCCCGAAGATGTGACTGAACCATAGTAATCTCACAATAAAACTTGAATAGATGAGGAGTCGCTTATTCTAGATGAGCAAAGAAATAAGTTTCTTGAAATGGAATCTACTCCTGGGAAAGATGCTGTGAACATTGTTGAAATGACAAGAAAATATTTAAAATATTCTATCAATTTAATTGACATAGAGGCAGCAGGACCTGAGAGGATTGACTCTAATTTTGAAAGAAGTTTTACTGTTGGTAAAATGCTATCAAACAGCATTTCATGCTACAGAAATATATTTTGCGAAAGGAAGAGAAATTTTCTACAGCAAACTTCATTGTTGTCTTATTTTATTAAATTGCCATAGCCAAGCCAAACTTAAGCAACCACCACCCTGATCGGTCAGTAGCATCAAGTCATGACCCTGTGCCAGCAAAAAAATTATGGCTTGCTGAAGGCTCAGATGATTGTTGGCATTTTTTACCAACAAATTATGTTTTAATAGAGGCAGGTACTTAATTGCTCATTAGACATAATGCTACTATTGCACACTAAATAGGCTAGAGCATAAGTGAACACAACATTTGTACAAACTAGAAAACCGAAAAGTTGATGTGATTTGCTTTATTGTGGTGTTCTGGAACAAAATCCACAGCATCTCCAAGGTATACCTGTATATGCTGTTCTTGTATTCCTTATTGGGCTGCCTTTACCATTTTGTAGTTAATCCTAGTACTTGTCAAAAGTCATCTTAATACATGAAACTTGTCCTGTTAAAATTACTAGGTGGTTTCTGTCTCATGAATGAATCCTGACTGATATATAGTTCCATACTTTAGTTTACCACAGCAAAGCCCTATTGCTTCTACAAAAAAAAATGTTTATATATATATATATATATATATATATATATATATATATAGTCCTATTGCTTCTACAAAAAAAGTTTTATATATATATAAAACAGATATCTATATATAATACATGTTATATATCATATATAATATATATTATATCATATATAATATATATTATATAATATTAATATATATAATATATATTATAATAAATTATATTATAATAAATATATTATATATTATAATAAATTATATTATAATAAATATATAATAAATATATTATATATATAATATATTATATATTATATATTATATATATATTTATAAACATATATATTATATATATAATTATTATATATTTACTTAAATATATATAATATATATTATATACATTATATATTTATTTAAATATATATTATTTAAATATATATATTTATTTATTATATATTTTATATATAATAAATAAATTTATTTATTTCATATATATTTAATATATTTCACATATATTTAAATAAATATTATATATAATATATATTTTTTAAATTGTATATAAAATTATATTAAAAATTTAAATTATATATAAAATTTATATAAAACTTTTTTTGTAGAAGCAATATACATAATACATATATATATATTATATATATAGTGAATTAGGGCACCTCTCATCACCTCCACTGAAGTTGTAGTTTTGAAAATGTTTATCAGTTCTTTAACATTCCTCCCTTCAGGAGGTTGAATCTTAACTGTCCTTCTCTTATGTGTGAGTGAGACTTGGTAACTAATGGCTAATGAA